TTTTATAATGGGGGTACCTCAAGACTGTCCACAATTTTAAAAGGGCGCCTCGGGACTGTCCATAATATAACGCAGCAACATCCACACACATACAGTGAAGGAAATGTGTATTTGCTCCCCGGCTGATGTTGAATGTTCGCCCCTCACACAGAAATGATCGGTCTGAAAATCGAATGTTCGGTGTAACACTGAGAGACAGAATACAACAACAAATTCAGCAGAAATGCGTCTAACAAATGATGACGGATCTGCATGTTGATGAGGGAAAGAAGGATTTGATCCCCTATCATTCAGCAGGATTTCTGGCTCCCAGGTGTCTGTCATACAGGTAACAAGCTGAGATTAGAAGCAGTCTCTTAAAGGGAGTGCTGCTAATCTCATTGTGTTACCTGTATAAAAGACACCTGTCCACAGGAGCAATCAAACCATCAGATTCCAAACTCTCCACCATGGCAAAGACCAAAGAGCTGTTCAAGGATGTCAGGGACAAGATTGTAGACCTACACAAGGCTGGACTGGGCTACCAAACTATGGCCAAGCAGCTTGGTGAGAAGGTGACAACAGTCGGTGCAATCATTCACAAATGGAAGAAACACAAAACAAGTGTCAGTCTCCCTAGGTCTGGTGCACCATGCAAGATCTCACCTCGTGGATTGTCAATGATCATGAGAACAGTGAGGAATCATCCCAGAACTACACGTGAGGATCTTGTCAATGATCTCCAGGCAGCTGGGACCACAGTCACCAAGAAAACAATTGGTAACACACTACGCCGACAAGGACTGAAATCCTGCAGTGCCCGCAAGGTCCCTCTGCTCAAGAAAGCACATGTCCAGGACCGTCTGAAGTCTGCCACTGAACATCTGAATGATGCGAGGAGGACTGGTGGGAAGTGTTGTGGTCAGATGAGACCAAAATCCAGCTCTTTGGCATCAACTCAACTCGTCGTGTTTGGAGGAGGAGGAATGCTGCCTATGACCCCAAGAACACCATCCCAACTGTGAAACATGGTGGTGGAAAAATTCTGCTTTGGGGGTGTTTTTCTGCTAAGGGGACAGGACAACTGCACCGCATCAAAGGGACGATGGACAGGGAAATGTACCATCAAATCTTGGGTGAGAACTTTCTTCCCTCAGCCAGGGCATTAAAAATGGGGTCGTGGATGGGTGTTCCAGCATGACAATGACCCATTGGCCACCCTGGTTAAGAAAGGCTGGTCTAAGGTGGTGTAACCTGAGGCGTCGGAGGGGTTGGGACCCTTAGCCGTGTCAGGGTATGGACAGAGGTTCCTGCTTTCTAGTGGCTCCTGCGGGGGCAGCGCTACACACGAGGCACATGCTATGTGGTGGAGTGAAGAAACAAATCTTTTATGACCTAAGATTGCTAGATACATCAGATATGTAAAATGAATATTCCTGCAGACCTCAGAAGGTTTTTTTTTTTTTTTGTTCTCGTTGCCTAAGAACTGCACTAATGATTCCTGTTCAATATCTATTAATAGACCGACTTTAATGAATCGAATCTTAATTCCAGGTAAGAGATTAATACAAACGCATCGAATTGAAAATTTTTCCTCCTATATCTAAAGTCAAATCTCATTTATTACAGCTTTCGATATATTTGTGTAAAGAGCCCATTATTGTCTCCATTTATAGATCGCCGGAAACCCTTCCTGAATTCTGCGACTGTTCTAGAGGATGATGAGCCTCTGGACATCGCCGGAAAACATGGCTGATGAGATCGAAGGTCCATTTGTTTCCTTGTATTCGTTTTACTTAAATATTTCCTATTTTTAATTTCTAGACCGCTGTGTTTTGTTGGCCGAAATGCATTTAAATTCTGATGTTTTTTTTATTTTATTTATGATCTATATGGATTCTCTGGATCAACTGTGGATGTAGGATTATAACTTTGTTTTTTTTTCTATGGTTGAACTGGATTTTCAGCCAGACTAACTATGTAACTATATGTAACTGTATGTAACTATGTAACTATCTATCTAACTATGTAACTATATGTAACTGTATGTAACTGTATGTAACTATGTAACTATCTATCTAACTATGTAACTATATGTAACTGTATGTAACTATGTAACTATCTATCTAACTATGTAACTATATGTAACTATGTAACTATATGTAACTATATGTAGCTATGTAACTATGTGTAGCTATGTAAGTATGTGTAACTATATGTAGCTATATGTAACTATGTAACTATATGTAACTATATGTAACTATGTAACTATATGTAGCTATATGTAACTATGTAACTATATGTAGCTATATGTAACTATATGTAACCATGTAACTATATGTAGCTATATGTAACTATATGTAACCATGTAACTATATGTAGCTATATGTAACTATATGTAACCATGTAACTATATGTAGCTATATGTAACTATGTAAACTATATGTAGCTATATGTAACTATATGTAACCATGTAACTATATGTAGCTATATGTAACTATGTAACTATATGTAACTATATGTAACCATGTAACTATATGTAGCTATATGTAACTATATGTAGCTATGTAACTATATGTAACTATATGTAACTATATGTAACCATGTAACTATATGTAACTATGTAACTATATGTAACTATATGTAACTATATGTAACCATGTAACTATATGTAACTATGTAACTATATGTAGCTATGTAACTATGTGTAACTATGTAACTATGTGTAACTATGAAACTATATGTAACTATGTAACTATATGTAACTATGTAACTATATGTAACTATGTAACTATTTATGACTTCTAAGTTGTTTTTGTATTCTTATTGTAGGCAGTAAAGCACTGTATCCTTTATGTGTGTTTAGTATTGTTCTTTTAGATCCAACTTTCAGGTTTCCTTTGCTTACTTTTTCTGTTTTATTTTTGTAATTTTATTTCTGTATTTAGTTCTAAAAACCTAATTTAACCCCTCGCCTACCAGGCACTTTTACCTCCTTCCTGCCCAGGCCAATTTTCACCTTTCAGCACTGTTGCACTTTAACCACTTACCCTTCAGAGGATTTCCCCTCCTTCCTGACCAGGCCATTTTTTTTTTGTGATACGGCGCTGTGTTACTTTATCTGACAATTGCGCACTCGTGCACCGCTGTGCCCAAATGTAATTTTTTTCCCCCCACAATTAGAGCATTCTTTCAGTGGTATTTGATCGCCTGTGGGTTTTTTATTTTTTGCACTATAAAAAATATATATATATATATACTGTATATATATATATATATATATATTTGACTTTTTGCTATAAAACATATCTAGTAAAAAAAATAAAGAAATCTAATTTTATCAAACATTTCAGGCAAAATGTATTCCGCTCCGTGTCTTTGCTAAAAAAATAAATCCCAATACGTGTAAATTAATTGGTTTACGTGAAAGTTATAGCATCTACAGATGGCGGTATAGATACTGGGATTTTTTATTTTATACTAGTAATGGCGGTGTTCAGCAACTTATAGTGGGACTGAGGTGGGCATTCTGACACTGGGGGGACTGACTTGGTGTCACTGACATCCCCAGTGACACCAATACAGTGATCAGTGCTAATAAAAAGCACTGACACTGTACTAATAGCACTGGGCAGGAAGGGGATAACATCTGGGGCGATCAAAGGGTTAACTGTGTGCGTTTTACATCATGTGCTGTGTGATGTTTTACTATGCATGCTGTGTGTGTTTTACTAGGGAAAGATGCTGCTTTGTATCGCTCTGCTATGCAGAGCGATACAAAGCAGCATGCTGGTGCTGACAGGGGAGAGACCTGTGTTGTTTACATACAGACCTCTCCCCTGTCACTGTTCCTCAGTGATCGCCGCGTGCCATCGGGGAATCTCCGGCCAGGACCTGGCGATCGACATCTGTAGCCACCAATGGTGGCAGGGTAGGGCCCCCTACCTGGACATGCAAAATGACATATATGTACGTGATTTTCCGCAGCCCTGCTGCCCTGTAGAAGTAGTTCTGCTAGAGGGCAGCGGGGAACCAGCTAAATGACAATTGCTCAGTCATGCAACACTGTACCCATATGGAATTTGTATCATTTTTTGCACACAAATAGAGATTTATTTTGTTGGTATTTAATCACCACTAAGCTTTTATTTTTTTGCACTATTATAAAAAAAAAAGACCGATTTTGAAAGAAAATGCGATTTTCTCTGTTTCTGTTATAACATTTTGCAAATAAATAATCTTTCTACACAAATTTAGGACAAAATGTATTCTGCTACGTGTCTTTGGTGAAAATAACCCAGATCTCTGTTTATGTTTTAGTTGGTAGGAAAGTTGTAGATTCCACAATCTATGGAATATTTTTTAAAAAAAATCATAAATCCTGATGTACTGACGGCCAATCTCATTTCTTGAGGCCGAAAAACAAGCAAGACGGTACAAATACCCCACAAAATGACTGCTTTTCGGAAAATAGACAGTCTGAGGTATTTAGTAAGAGGCTTCGTGAGTTTTTTGAAGTTGTAATTTTTTTGTCATCATTTTGTGGAAAATGAAGAAATGAAAGAAAATTCACTTTTTTTCTTTTTTTTTTTTTACATACTGTCACCAATGCAGTACAACATCATCATATGATGGTGATCAGGGACACAGTATGTTAAAAAATAAAAATAAAGAAACAATACTGATAATTTTTTTTTTAAATTTAAAAACTTTTAAAACATTTTTATTACTTTTTTCTTTTATTATTATTAATATTATTATTATTATTATTATACCGGATTTATGGCGCCAACAGTTTGCTCAGCGCTTTACAATATAACGGGAGACAATACAGCAACAATACAGTTCAATACAAGAGGGGTAGGAGGTCCTGATCCTGGGAGCTTACAATCTAGGAGGGAGGGGCTGGTGGTACAAAAGGTAATAACTGTGGGGGATGGACTGGTAGGAGGAATAGAAGATTCCATTATTAGCTGAGGGCAGGATAGGCTTCCCTGAAGAGATCGGTTTTCAGAGATCGCCTAAAAGTGAGCAGAGTAGGCGATAGTCTGATAAATTGGGGTAGAGAATTCCAGAGGATAGGAGAAGCTCTGGAAAAGTCCTGGAGACAAGCATGGGAGGAGGAGACAAGGGAGCTAGAGAGCAGGAGGTCTTGCGAGGAGCGGAGAGTACGGTTTGGGTGATATGTGGAGACAAGATCGTTGATGTAATTTGGGGGCGGAGTTATAAATGGCTTTATACGTTATTGTTAATGTTTTGAATTTTATCCATTGGGCAATGGGAAGTAGAGGGATTGGCAGAGAGGGGTGGAGGACACTGAGTGGAGGCCAGTGGAGGGATTGGCAGAGAGGGTGGAGGACACTGAGTGGAGGCCAGTGGAGGGATTGGCAGAGAGGGGTGGAGGACACTGAGTGGAGGCCAGTGGAGGGATTGGCAGGAGAGGGGTGGAGGACACTGAGTGGAGGCCAGTGGAGGGATTGGCAGAGAGGGGTGGAGGACACTGAGTGGAGGCCAGTGGAGAGATTGGCAGAGGAGGGGTGGAGGACACTGAGTGGAGGCCAGTGGAGGGATTGGGGAGGGATGGAGGACACTGAGTGGAGGCCAGTGGAGGGATTGGAGGACACTGAGTGGAGACCAGTGGAGGGATTGGCAGAGAGGGTGGAGGACACTGAGTGCAGGCCAGTGGAGGGATTGGCAGAGAGGGGTGGAGGACACTGAGTGGAGGCCAGTGGAGGGATTGGCAGAGAGGGGTGGCTGATACAGAATGGTTAGTAAGGTGGATAAGTCTGGCAGCAGCATTCATGATGGACTTTTTTTTTTACAATTTTTTTTTCTACTCCTGTGATCAGAGGAATGCAATGTTACCAGTCACCATAGTAACATTGTACTACTCTGGCCAAGTGATCAGGATTTTTGTTTTCTTTTTACACCAACAAATTTCATTGGCATAAGCAAGCATTTTTACTGAACGAAACTCCTTCATTCAGTAGTATGTGTTGTGATCAGCTGTGATTGGCCATAGCTGACCACATGCTACAGATGTGATTGGCCCAGTTGTACATGAGATCACTGTGACTAATCACAGTTAGCAGGACATTTGTAAGTAGTGAATGACATGAAAGGAAGCCATTCATTGTTTACAACTGTCATGTGATCTGCTGTGATTGGTCACAGCAATGACTTTGGCAGGTGTAGTGATCTGTCATGGGCTGTGTCCCGTAGACACAGCTGGTGATAGATCGCAGCAGAGCGTGGCCCGTGAGGAAACGCATGAGGCGTGGTCCTGGGAGGAGGTCATATAATATCTTCCCAGGATAATAGGGTTCTCGCACAGCCGACATTGTAAAATAGGCCGGATGGGAAGGAGTTAAAAAAGAAAGAAAAACCTGCCACCCAACAATATCAAGAATGCTTAGGGTGTGTTGAATACTATAGCCCCTCAGAAACGCCAACAAATGGTTAAAATATATACCCAACGTCATGAAGAGGTGAGAAAACATCTGACTTTTAAAGACCATCGCATGACGTCTTTATGGGTGGAATGTCTTCTTCTCTTGTATATGTACACAGGGTCAACATATTCATTGTGTGTTGAGTGTATCCGTCACGGGCCTGGTAGGAGACTGAATTGACGAGGTTGGCCTCTCTTGTATCTCCAGCCCAGGACCCACTGAAGGTGGAACAGATGGTGCCGAGGGACAGGAGGAACACAAGTGCCGGCATATGTTGATGGTAGAAGTTGCAGCAGGAGATGCAGGCTTGAGAAGTCAGGCAGGACATCAAGTCAGGAGCAGATGTGAAGTATGCTGGACCAGCCATTGCTAAAGGCTCATCCTGCATGTACTGCAGGTTCTGGAAGCGTGGCTTGTTCAAGCTCGAAGCAGGAACACGCTGCAGTAACTGGAGCAGTTATGAAGGACAGCCAAAGCAGACACTCAAAAGTAATATGAATCGTCCGGTGTCAGGAACAGGTGGTCAGAGGTACAAGCAGAACCCAGGAGCAGGTCAAGAAGAAGCCGGGTCATCAATGGAAATCAGTTACAGGATACACTCAGGACACAGGAAAAGCTGAAGACCAGTCAGCACTGACAGTGAGCAAGAGCATCCCTTGCCAGAGACTGTGGGCACGCTCCCTTGTGCACGCACACGTGTGCGTCCATTCTTCCACACAAGGCTATTATTTCAATGGGAACGCAGTTCCGGCACCACCAGCACTGAATGGGGTGTGCTGGAGGGTCTATTGATACTGGAGTGGGGTCTATTGTTGGGGGAACCTATTGATGCAGATGTAGGGTTCACTGTTGCTGGGGGAGTCAATTGTTATGTGGGGGATTGCTTGGGTGGGGTCTGTTGTTGCTAGGGGGATCTATCGTTGCTGGTTGTAGAGGGATCTATTTTACTGCTTTTCTTGTTGTCCATACAAATATTTAGCACCACAAAATGATACTGTATCCTCTAAAGGAGCCGGACTGGGAGGTGGTAAGGGGTGGAACCAAGGGGCAGTGCTCAGAGGTGGGTAGGAGGTGGAGACAAGGGGGACTCAGAAAAGGGGAGTTCCTGTGCCTATTCTCTGAGAAAAAAAGCCCTTCTTGCATATATGAATGAGCCTATGCACATTTCTACGACCGATGCCCCGCGCATATCTATGCGCCAGTCGCGGTACTGGAACTCCCTTACAAGATCTCAGCATCTCTACAATGTATCTTCTACTATAGTACTGTGCAAAAGTTTTAGGCAGGTGTGAAGAAATGCTGAAAAGTAAGAATGCTTTCAAAAATAGATATTTTCATTGTTTATTTTTATCAATTTACAAAATTCAAAGTGAGTGAGCAGAAGAAAAAAAAATCTAAATCCAATCAGTATTTGGCATGACTACCCTTTGGTTTCAAACCAGCACCAATCTGTACACTTGCACAAAGTCGGGGATTTTGTAGGATTAGAGTCGTTTGTGATGATTAATCAATTATACCAAGCCGGTGCTAATGGTCATCAAGTTCTTATGTAGGCTGTAAAACCTTTACCTGAAACAGAAGCAGCTGTGTAGGAGGCTTAAAACTGGGCGAGGAACAGGCAAACTCTGCTACTAAGGGGAGGTTGTGGAAGACAGTTTCATGTCACAGGTCATACGCCAGGGTTTCTCAACCAGGGTTCCTCCAGAGGTTGCTAGGGGTTCCTTAAGCAACAAGCAATATCCACCTCTCAGATAGGTTCCCTCTGACACCGTAATTGTAGCTATATGTAAGGGGGTATTCTTCTCAATGACCACAAGTGTAAGAAACATTCTTCCCACTGACCATCACACCAATGTATCATGAGCTGCAGATACAGTAATTTTTAGCAGGGGTTCCCCAAGACCAAAAAGTAATTTCAAGGGTTCCTCTGTGAAAAGGTGGAGAAAGGTGGTCACATACCATGGCAAGGCTGACCACACAAGGTCGTTATACTGCATCAGCAAGGTCTTTCCCAGGGAAAGATTTCAGAACAGACCGGGGTTTCACAATGTGCGGTTCAAGCTCTTTTGAAGCACAAAGAAATGAGCAACCTTGAGGACAATAGATGCAGTGGTCGGCCAAGGAAACTTAAAGGATCAGTTCACCTTTTCGGGCAGAATTTCACTTTTCATTATACGAGAGTTTTCCAGTTCCAATTATGGCCCAACCATCCCAATGTAGTTCAGGAAGTTTGTCCTCAGTCGCTATTCCCTTAGGCATCCCATATATCCTTTACCCCATCCAAGTCCTAATCCCCTAATAAAACTTCAAAACAAAGCTCAAGGACTGCTTTCTGTCTCCTGGTACAAGTCTGAATGGGAAATGTGTATTGCCTGGCTGTGCAGGACTATAGGGGGACCCAAAACTCAGCAACTCCTAAGGCTGTAGTGCTACAATTGATTTCAATTTCTCTTCTGTTCATTTACTTTCCATTTTGTTAACTGATAAAAATAAACTATTAACACTTCTATTTTATAATTAATGAATAGTTACATAGTTAGTCTGGCTGAAAAAAGACAAAAGTCCATCCAGTTAAACCATGAAAAAAAAAAAATCCTATACCCACAGTCAGGGCCGGACTAACCATTTGGAAACTCAGGCACTGCCCGAGGGCCCGGGGTCATTAGGGGGCCCCATGAGATGCCCCTGGTACCTTTTTCATAGACTTTTTTGAGTTTGGGCAAGGACACAGGGGCCCCATGATCCCCTATTGCCCGGGGGCCCCATGAGTTGTCAGTCCGTCCCTGCCCACAGTTGATTCAGAAGAAGGCAAAAAAATGAGCAAAGCACGATCCAATGTGCTCCTGCAGGGAAAAAAATTCCTTCCTGGTCCCCCGAGAGGCAATCGGATATTCCCTGGATCAACTTTCCCTATAAATGTTATATCCAGTTATATTCTGTGTATCCAAGAAAGAATCCAGGACTTTCCTACAGCAATCCACTGAGCTGGCCACAACCAACTCTTGAGAGAGTCTATTCCACATTCTCACAGCTCTCACTGTGAAGAAACCTTTCTGTATTTGGGATTAAATTTATTTTCCTCCAGACGTAAACAGCGCCCCCTTGTCCTCTGGGATGACCTGAAAGCATTCTTCATTTACTGTACAGCAGTTCTTCACACAGTAATATATCATCAAATTTCCTGCATTCTTTACATGCCACCCATCAACATAAAAAATATCTGGGTTGTGTTGAACACTACAGCGTCTCATAAGGTCCAACAAGTGGTGAAGATGCATAACCAACATCAGGAAGAGGGGCCAATGTGCCTGATAACTGAAGGGACCACTGGAGAAGAGCTGGTGACAAACACCAACCAGTGGCTTCATTTTTGAAGTCCATCACAAGGAGTCTTTATGGGTCTTCTTTATGGGTCTTCTTCTGTCTACGTACAAAGGGTCAAGTTATCTATTGTGCGTTGAGTATATCTCAGCATCTGTACAATGTATCTTCCAAATTCCCAACATTTTTGCAGATTTCTAATAACCGTTTTACCAGATGTCACAGCGCTTCTATCTTTTGTGAAAATTTAGCATTTGCCAAAGAAGGTTTAGTGTAACAAAACAAAATACTTCTCAAGCCGGGAGACAAGAAAATATGGCGATCCATCCCGGCCAAGTATTTCGTTCTAAGTGCCAGTCGTTGTACTCTTCCTCCATGTTTCCCCATGCTGGACGGGAGGAACACATGTGAATATAATTAACATTCCCCCATTGTCAAACAGAGCGGAGCAGCGTAAGCCTGGTGGGAAAGTGGCTTAACTGACATTTTGGCTGTGCAAAATGCAGACTGTATATTCATCATGTTGGGTTGCATGCCTGGAAACGCCTCATTTCAAAAGAATCAGACCCCCCCTCTCCTTGTCAATAAACAATGTAATATTTTGTGCAAGGTTCCAGGCGCCATACCCTTTCCCAAACATGTCCTGGAACACATCACTGTTCCACAAGATGCAACTATCGAGAGTCAAGATTTCAATCGATATGTGATAGAAGCCAAATGTCTCCTTTTCTCGCTACCTATCATGAAGCAAAGGTCTATAAACAATGGACTCCTATCAGAAGATTGCCTTTTTGTTTGAAGCCCGACTGAACTTTCGGTAGAATTCCAGGTTTAATTTCACTTTAAAAAGTTCATTTGGGCCAAAGTGGCCCAAACTAACTATTTCCATTACAGAACGACGTGGCCGGTAGGTGCGCTAATGTAGTAGGTTTAGCTACATACAGTAAGTGGAGCTAAGTTCTAGTAGTAGTACCAGTGACTTCCCCTCTACTACTGGAATTAAAGCCGGGCTGAATGCTT